CGTCGGCGCCGGACCAGACCTGTTGTGGGTGGTCGACGAGCGTCGCGCCGGCGCGGTCGTAGGCCTCGTCTGGGAAATCGGCGGAGGCGCCGGCGCCGCGCTCGACGAGGACCTTTGCGAAGCCCTTTTTGAGGAGGAGCGCCACGTTTTGCGGGGTCAGTGCGACGCGGCGCTCGTTGAGGTAGATTTCCTTTGGCACGCCGACGGTGAGCTGCGCGTAGGGGACGGACTGCGGTTCTGCGACTGTTGCGTAGGTTGCGGCCGGTGTAGCCGTGGGGCCGGCGCTGGAGCCCGCCGAGACGACCGACGCATGGCGGATGAGCTGGAGAGGCCGGTACGAGACGGCCGGGACGAGAGCTTTCGTCTGGCGGCGGGCTCGCGCGTGGGTGGACTGCCACTTGCCGGCGACGACGACAGATGCCGGTGCTACGGCTGTATGTGGGGGAACGAGCAGACTGCGTTAGCCGAAGCGATTGGGAGATTTGTCTCTCTTGCTGGTTCCAAGAACCCGTAGCTTACCTGCCAGACCGTTCCGCCACGCGCGGGAGCCGACGAGCCGGCCGGACGAAGCGCGGGAGGAGCACACGTTGTAGGCCAGAGTCGGCCTTAGGACGGAGAGGTTCGCCATTGCAGCGGCGAGGCTTCGAGCATCCAGGCTAACGAAGCCGGGGCGACGAGGATGTCGGGCAGGGCCTTTACATCTGCTCGCGACCACTGCCTGAGGTCGACGAGGTTGGGTGGCAGGGAAACGGGAACGGCTCCAAGCTACCGCGTCGATTTGTGACAAAGGGAAGGCGACGGTACGCAATGGGGGAGAAATGAAGATGGGAGGAAGTAGAGAAGAGGAGGAGAAGTGGAAGTTGGAAGATGTGAATTGGATAGAGTTGGGATTGACTTTTTGCGGCCAAAGAAGAGAACAACGAGACAACGGGCTTGTAGGTACTGTGTCACGTTTTGGTCGGCCGTTGGATTTGTTCCATGCCCGTCCTCGTCTTCGTCACTACTCTGAGGTGATGGCTGCTGCCCCTCCTCATCCGTCCATCACCCGCGCATCCGGATCCTTGTTCTCTCCCCCCAGGTTCGTTGCATCCTAAGACGGGAAGTGCAGAATCGGTTCAGGCGTGTCGCAGATGTCGCAGCGCGAGCTCCAAGCTCCTCCAATCACTACCCGACGTGGGAAGTTGTTTGGAGTCGTCTGCGTGGTCTGCCAAGTTGGCTTTTACCCCCCCCCCCCTTCGCAGCTGTGTCCCAAGGTTCCCCTCACTGGCATGTGCGGTACGAAAGCGCGGTACTTTCTGGGAGATCGGCTGGGGAACAATTCAGGCAAGACAATGTCGCAGACGCTAAGTCCATCTTGTGTAGGAGTTCAAAGGCACTGGACAGGTACCTTTCGACGGATGTGGTCATTGGTGGTGTGAGGTGTTGGTGGAAGTGGTCTGGTGCATGCTTCCGTGCAGGGAAAGGAGCTGCAGCTTGGCCCCGTACCCCGTATGTACTCGCCCCCCTTTTCCCCCCCTTCTTCTCCAGTCTTCCAGTGCGGGGTGTGGGGCCGCGGGCACTAAACACGGCGCTAAAACACGGGGGACAGTCTTATCCCCCGCCATTTCGAGCTCGCGATAACTCGATAAGGCCCGATAAGCCTGCAGTGCTGTCCAAGCCCATGGCAGGTTGCTTGCCACTTTTGCCATTTTATCCACCGGGACCAGTTTTCCTTTTCGTCCGATGGGAGATTGATAAAGCACTGATAAACTTCATGGAGCGCTGATTAATGCTCGCCCAGACGGAGGCCGAGCACCCTTGGCCCATGTTTCTGTCCCCTGTTTGTTTCCCGCGTTTCAGTGACATTCGGCTGGTCTTTTCAAAGATCCCGCCTCTTCCGGCTCTGATGTAGACGACTTCTAAGGATAAATTGATTGTTCCTGGCCGGGGGCAAACGAGATGCTCCAAATCCTCTTCTAGCATCGTGGCAATCCAAGGCTGGAGTTTGAATCAGTCTCCAAGTCTTGCTGTCATCACTTGATGGTATATCAAAGTATCCAAAAAGTCAAGACGAACGTGTCACATGCACGAAACACGAGAACGCTATCCGCGACTTTGCATTGCATGGCATGCATGTAGCGCACAGAAGGGAAGGCAGAGCAGACAGACCTGCATCGGCTGGTTCGGAGCGACGAGGCACAGGGAGAGAGCTGGTGCAGATTCGGCAGGCAGATGGAACAGACAGACGACCAATGAGGCCCGTCATTCCGAGGGGGGTAGAAGATGCTTTGAACCAGTTAGTCATTGGTCAGTGGAGGGCTATCATTCTCGACACCATTTTTGGAATTGGCATCTTCTTGGGGGGAATGATTGTTCGGCAACCTTAGAAGAGAATTCCGACCAAGTTCAACTATAACTTCTGGCTACCTAATATCGTAATAGCATCCCAATGCAAATTGCGTCATACAGCTGCTAGTTTCCAACCGATAGAGTTGCTCTTGGATACAAAAGCCATGGTCTCGTAGATTTACTAGCCACAACTGAACGTCAGCTAAGGCCCTCTCGTTTCTCCAAGAAAATAGAGAGTCTCTTTTAATCGTCTCAAGGGCTCGAGTCGACTAGTTGCAAAATTCCTCGGCGGCGTCAGATAGTTAAAAAATCTCGTCGATAAGTATGTAGGGCATTCGAAGCTGACAATGACACAAAATCAGATCAACCAGTCTCCAACACCAATTCAATTGCACTCCAAAACACAACAGAAAAAACGCAAAAAAGTGCCAAAAAGAGTGACCTGAAAGTGAAGTCGAACTCAAGGGGTCGAGGTCCATCTCCTTAGAGATATGTGGAAATCCCCCGTCCCCAGCTGAGTGTTCCACTGGGCCACGGCGCCCGAGGGAATTGGACCCCCGTTTGCTTGTGGGATGAGGAGGATGCGCTGGTCATGAAGGCTGTGGTTGCTGGCCGTCGTTGGCCGTCGAGGTTGTGGTTGGGCTTAGCCATTGAGCAAGTTGAGGCTGACCTGGATGGTGATGAGGCTTGGGAGGGGGGTGACCGGGACGGGTTGACGATGTATGTGTGTGGTTGGGCTGGGTCTACTCCCAGCCGCACTGTATGGTATTCTTCTAGTTCCTGCCCAGGTTTCCTTTTTCCACTGTAGTCTTTTTGAACATGACCATTGTCGTCCGTTGGCCGTGATGCCCCGTCGCAAACCCAGTGTCTAGCGCCATGTCCAACCCCTTTCCATCACCAAAATAATGTCTGCATCCAAAACCGCTCACTGCAAAAACGAGTCATCGTCCTCGACAAGCCCCATCATCTGCTGGTTACTATAAAACCAATCCTCCAACTGCGCCGCGTTCCCCATCCACATCATCTGGTTCAGCGCACCCGATCCCGCAACCCCAGCACCGTTCATCCCGTCCTCTGCTCCTCCGCCCGTTATTCCCGACATCTGCTCCGACCCCACATCCGACGATTGCTGCGTGTGCTGCTGCTGCGGATGCCCAGACGCCGGCGGGAACCCGAGCGCCGTGAGGTACTTGTCCATTTCCTGGCCCTGCTCCTCCGACTGCTGCTGCTGCGCGCTGTTGTTGGCGCCGTTGCTGTTGTTGTTCCCACTGCTGACGCCGCCGTGACTCCGCATCTCGACGTACCGGAGAGCGACGTTGTAGAGCACCTGGAAGAGGCGGCACAGCCGCGCCGAGGCCTCGGTGAACTCCTTTGCGCCTTGGATCGAGGCGACGAAGCCCTGGAGCCGGGCGAGGTCCGAGGTGTCGCTTGTTTCGATTACCTGGCAGAAGATTACGATGAAGGGGACAAAGGGGGAGAAGAGGATGGTCCTGGACGTTGTTAGTTTGGATTCGGCAGAGGATGGGATGCAAGTATGTGTGAGGGAGAAAGAGAGACAGAGAGAGAGAACGCACCAGTTCATGTACATGGGAAACAGGTAGTACGCGTCCTTCGCCATGATGGCCATGCAATCCTCGTGCCGCTGCAGCGTCGCCCTCGCGGCGTTGATGCACTCCGTCCCAAACGTCGTCGCGGACCCAAGGGGCGAGGGGACGGCGCGGTAGATGATTGTCAGCAGCGACAGCCGCAGGACCTCATCCGACACGGTGAAGAAGTCCATCGTGTTCTCTCCCACGGCCTCGATGGCCGACTTAAGATACTGTGACTATTCGGTCTGTCAGCATTCTAGAAAACCAACTGACAGGAATAAAAAGACTCACATGCGTCTCCTGCGTCCGGTCCGTAACCCTCTTCAACTCCGCCGCCAGCCCCCTCGCCCTCGCCTCCCTGACGGCGCTCGGCTGCGCAACCGCCTCGGGGCTGTACAGCTGCTCGTACGTCTTCCCCTGGATGCGCGAGACAATGACCCACAGACGGAAATAGCTCATGAGGGCGCCGTGCATCTTGCTGGCGCTCGAGGGGTAGGGTGCGGTGACGTCGTAGTCCTGGATCGTCGAGGGGCGGCCGAGGCGGAGGGAGAGGGACTTGTCGATGAAGTAGACGGACCAGAAGAGGAAGATTTTGTATTCCTCGTCGTCTGGGTTTGTGGTGGTTGCGCCTGTTGCTGTGCCTGTTGTCGAGGAGGAAGATGAGGACGATGAGGATGCGCGGTGGTAGCCTAGGGTTTGGCAAAGTTGGGCCGAGGCTACGTTGAGGGTCCAGGCTAGGCTTGGTTTTGCTACTTCCATCGCGTGGTAGGCCTGACGATGTTAGCTTCACGTATGGACAATACAGATGTCAGTGGAAGCATACCCCGAACAGAAGGGCCACAATCATGTCCATCGTGGCCGGGAGGTGCAGGGGCAGATTGGCGAGGGCCGTCTGGAGGTTCCCCCGGCAGAGGGTGCCCATCTTGGCGCACTCCTCTCTTAGCTGCGCGCTCGCCGTCTTGGACTGCGTCATGTCGGTGTACAGGCTCTCGAGGCCGGCGTTGACGATGATGAACTCGGCCTCGTTGAACTCTGTCGGCGCAAAGTAGACCTTGAGGACCAGGTCCGTGAAGTGGTCTGGGTGGAGGAACGTCGTCACCCACTCGAGACCCAGCGTCTTTTGAGCTATTTGAGACAGTCAGTGATGCTTCTTTCTTTGGCTGTATAGTGACTTAAGACTACGCACCCTTTGCCTCGCGGATGATGTTGACGGCGGACTGCACCGGCGGCATCTCGCACTCGCCAAACGCCGGCCGGGCCACGGGCTTCGCCTGCGGGTACGTCAGCTCGTGCGACGCGGGCTGGTGCCGGAGGGCCTCGACGAGCGAGTGCAGGGCGTCGAGGGTCTCGCGCATCTCGAGCACCGAGGAGCCGTCGCCGAAGGTCTTGCGGAGGAAGTCGTGGGCGAAGATGGACTGGGCCGTCATGGAGGACTCGCCCTCGACCAGGGGGTCTGTCGTGTGCTGCTGCTGCGTGGACGTGCTGGCTGGCGTTGTTGATAAGGATGATGAAGCCACCGTCTTGAGCTGGATGGGGGCTGGCGGGCCCCCTGATACTGCCCCTCCTGCTCCCCCGCCGGGGGTGGCGGTTGATCCCGAGACGGATGGGGCTGTTGATGGTGCTGCTGATGGTGCTTGGAGGGGGAACTGGAGTTTGAGGTCCTCGAGGAGGCGGACTACGCCGTCGAGGCGGCGGTCTATTAGGTCGATCTTCTTCTCACTGGGATGTGTGAGTTGCAAACTGGTGCAAGGGAGCAAAGACGAGACTTACTATTGAGGGGTGATGAGGATGCGGGTTCTCTTCTCTTTGGGCTTGAGCCCCGATGTATTCTTACACTCGATGCCGGCGTGCTGGCAGTGAGCACATGGTTCTTCTCTATCACAGCGAATCTTACAAGAACATAGTCAGCCCTACGTCCAATGGATGGTGTCGAGTGACACGATGACATGGGCCAATGAAGGATGAGACAACGTACCTTACGGGCACGACAAGCATCACACTAGATGTGTATGTTAGTTTCGGCGTGGTTTACAACGACTGGGTAGTATGAGGGTCTACTTACCGCTCGTTTGATGGGAAGGTTGGCGCCGCCCACGCCGCCAGCAGCGGAGAGACCCGCACCAACCCCGGCAGAAGATCCGGTGTCCATTGCGACTCGGCGAGATATTTCCAATTTTGACCAGATAAGCTTCACTTTAAGGGTAGGTCGCACCCGAGCAGCAAGGGTCCAAGACCCTCGGAGGGGGGTCCGGCGGGGCGGGAACGAAGAGATCCGAAATCTAGAATTGTCGAGATGCCAAGCGAGACGTTGTGCCCCGGGGCTGGGTGAATTCGGGGCCCGAACGAGGACGGGATCACGAGAAAGCAAGCGGCCGTAGATGGTTCGGAAACTCAACACGACTTTCGCGGCGGGATGAGGTCGCGGCCCGGGGGCAACTAAGAAGGACGGGAACGGCGCGCGCGGGTTCCGCTTCCGGCGGATTTTATGGAGCAAGAGGGCGGCCCCTGTGGCTGTGACCGTGGCTGTAACTCCGCCGCTAGTAGATTTCCGCAGTTGAGGCTGGAGAATTCTGGTCACCTTACGGGTGCGATGTGCATACGCGGTAGGATATATTTTGGAAGGGGAACAAGACGAGAAAAGAGGAAAGGAAGGGATTCTGGCACCCATATGAGGTGTGGGATCAAAGGCACCCGCTGCAGAACGCATGCACGATTTTTAGTAATTCAGATCCCCGTGCTCACCCCCTGGCAATGGACCCTTTCAGGGGTCCGGGTGACGGCACATCTCTGCGATTCAGGGCTCATCCAGGCGCAGACGCGGTGGTTCGCGCCGGATAGGCCGCTGTAGAGACGCATTTGAACTGGGGTCACTGGCTTTAGGTAGAAACTAACTAGGGAACACAAGAGCCATGATTCGCCGGTAGGAGGTGTGTCGATCACAGAATCGCAGTGTTGTCACGTTCTAGCGCCGCCGTTGTAGTCTATTCAAACGTATCCCACCGGCAACGCCAGGGCCAAATCGCCGGCATGGACGCATTTGGATCTGTGAATGCCCGTGATAGGTAGGGTGAGGCTTGGACCAGCATCTCTGACGGGGACGGAGTAAGGATGGAGTCTCTTCCATTGCTCGGCGTCCGCTGGTCCTTCCGGCTTGCGGCTTCAGACGTCAGGTTGACTCCGGGCGGGACTATCTGCCGCACTGTTCTTTTGAATCGAGGATGACTTCCTTCAGGATCAGGCGAACGAAGGCGGCGACAAGGAGCACGAAGTTGACTTGTCTGCTCAGCCTAGCGCACAGCTGGTATGGTCAGTCGTGGCGGGATGCTGTCAACAGGTACCGTCTTTCGGGCGACTGCCCGGTGACTCGCAAGTAGCTTAACCCCGGGCCTGGAGGAGCCAGCGCTCCTACATGTCGGCGCGGCGCCGTAGCGTCTCAGATACCGCCGCGCCGCTCGGCGAAAGAGTCATCGGCATCATCGACGTCGGACTCGGCCAAACCAAACCATCCTGCTGACACCTCATCGTACATCGATCGGGGGGAACTCCTCTAGCCTTTAATGGTTTGGGATGAAGGGAAATCTGGACATTATCTGACCCCTCGCGCCCCGAGAGCACCGCGCCCCGAGCAAAGCAGCGCAGTGGGCGCCCGGGCGCGATGAACCCGCGGCCCCCGCTGCAAGCCTGCCAAGCCTGCGTCCAGCCAATCGAATCCGTTCCTGCACCGAAGCGGGGGGCCCACTATACCGGAGAGTGGGTTTCTCTCGCTTCCATGACGGCGGTCCGCGGGAGAAGCCAAGGCCTCGCAGCAGCAGCTTCAATGACGGAGACCCTGCGACGTTGGCGAATCTGTCATCTCGCGTTTGCGTGTTTGCATTTTCCGAATTTCAAACTGTCGACATGCGCGTTTGAAAAGAATTCTTTTCAGGTGCATGGCATGATATAACCTGCTCCGTCTGGAGTTCTCCATCTCATCTACAAGAGAAACCAACCCGCCGGCTCACGTCTCTTGATCGTACGAACACACCACGCGACACAGACGATCAGATCTTGGGGTGAGCCACCCGTCAGCCGCACAATATGGGGGCCGAAAAGAAGGAGCACACTCCGGTTGAGGATACCGTCGCCGCCATTGCTTCGCCAAACGAAGCTGTCAAGGAAGAGGGCGGCGCGTTCAAGGCCTACCTGGTATGATCATCGTCGACTCTCACTTTTTGTAAACATGCTGACGTCTCCCAGAGAATCTTTTCCTTTGGAGGACCCTTTGAGAAGCTCCTGCAAACTATCGCGATAATATGCGCCCTGGGTGCCGGCGCCGGCGTGGCCCTGCAAAACTTGATCTTTGGCAGCTTCGTCACCACCATCCAGGACTTCACCACCGGCCAGTCCACCCCTCAACACTTTCGCAATGAAGTCTCAAAGTTGGCGTACGTTTCTGTCCATTCACAAACCATCACTCCAAGCTAAAAACCCCAGGCTCTACTTTGTCTACCTCGGCATCGCGCGATTCATCCTCGCCTACGGCTACATCTCCCTGACAACCTTCTCCGCCTACCGCATCACGCGCAACATCCGCCACGCCTACCTCCACGCCGCCCTCCGCCAGGAAGTCGCCTTCTACGATATCGGCTCCGGCGGCTCCATCGCCACCCAGGCCATCTCCAACGGCCGCCTCATCCAGGTCGGCATCGCCGAGAAGCTCGCCCTGACCTTCCAGGGGCTCGCCGTCTTCGTCACCGCCTTCATCATCGCCTTTGTGACGCAGTGGAAGCTCACGCTCATCGTGTGCTGCATCGCGCCCCTGATTTTGGTTGTCATGGGCGTCGTCTCCACCATCGAGGCCGGCCTCGAGACAAAGATCCTCGACATTTACGCCCAGGCGGGCTCCTTTTCCGAGGGCATCCTCTCGAGCGCGCGCACCGTCCACGCCTTTGAGATCCGGTCGCGGCTGGTGCAAAAGTTTGACAGGTTCCTCGAGGACGCCCACCGCATCGGCAACAAGAAGTCAGCCCTGTTTGGCGTGCTCTTTTCGTTTGAGTACTTTGTCATCTACGCCGGCTTCGCTCTGGCTTTCTGGCAGGGCATCCACATGTTGAACCGGGGCGAGATTACCGAGTCTGGAGACATTTTTACGTGAGTAGTCCGCAGCATCTAAAAAATCCCCAACTAATAGGGTTGTAGGGTCCTCCTCTCCGTCGTCATTGGCGCAACGAGTTTGACCATGCTGGCGCCGTACATCATCGAATTCACCCGCGCCGCCTCCGCGGCCGCCCAGCTCTTCAAGCTCATCGACCGCGTCTCCGAGATCGACCCCTTTGACAAGTCGGGCCACCAGCCCACCGAGACGGTCGGCGTCGTCGACCTTGAGAACGTCTCCTTTGAGTACCCGACGCGCCCCGGCGTCACGGTGCTCGACAACTACTCGCTTCACGTGCCCGCGGGCAAGGTGACGGCCCTCGTGGGATCAAGCGGCTCCGGCAAGAGCACAATCATTGGGTTGATTGAGCGATGGTACAATCCAAAGTCGGGCACCATCAAGCTCGACGGCCAGCCGATCGACGAGCTGAACCTCAACTGGCTCAGGAAGAATGTCCGGCTCGTGCAGCAGGTGAGATGGGATGCCCCTATGTTGAGTACCATTCGCTAATCGTTGCAGGAACCCGTCCTCTTCCAGGGAACAGTCTTTGACAACATCGCCAATGGCCTCGTCGGAACCCCGTGGGAGTCCTCCCCCCGCGAGGAGCAACTCCGCCGCGTCCAGGACGCCGCCAAGATCGCCTTTGCCCACGACTTCGTCTCCCAGCTGCCCGAGGGCTACGACACCATGATTGGCGAGCGCGGTGGCCTATTGTCGGGTGGACAGAAGCAGCGCGTCGCCATCGCGCGCAGCATCATCTCGGAACCCAAGGTGCTCCTCCTCGACGAAGCCACCAGCGCCCTGGACCCGCACGCCGAGGGCGTCGTGCAGCAGGCTCTCGACAAGGCGGCCGAGGGCCGCACGACCATCGTCATTGCCCACAAGCTCGCCACCATCCGTAAGGCGGACAACATTGTCGTCATGAACAAGGGCGCCATAGTCGAGCAGGGGACGCACGAGGGCCTGTTGGCGCAGGGCGGCGCATATACCCGTCTCGTGAGGGCGCAGAACCTGAACGTGGCCGAGGAAGGGTCCATCACCGAGACGGAGGAGGATGACGACGAAGCGGTGACGGCGGCGGCGGCTGCTGCTGGGAAGGAGGATATTGAGCTCACGAAGACCATGAGCCGGTACCGGACGACGGACCAGACGCGGATGGAGGCGCAGAAGGAGCGCGACAACTTTGATCACTACAAGCCCATCGGCCTCATCAGCGTCGTCATTCGCATGGTGCGCGAGACTCCCGAGCTGAAATGGGCGTACCTCGCGACGCTGCTGGCCGTGATAGTCGCCGCTGGCGCATTCCCTGGCCAATCCCTCGTCATCGCCAACCTCGTCGACGTCTTCACGATGACGGGCTCCGAGATGATCACCAAGGGCAACTTCTACTCCCTCATGTTCTTCGTCCTCGCCCTCGGCGTGCTCTGCTGCTACTTCGTCATGGGCTGGGCCACAAACGTCATCGCCCAGGGGCTCAACCACAAGCTGCGCCGCCAGTCCCTCAACGACTTCCTCCGCCAGGACCTGCAGTTCTTTGACCGCGTCGAGAACAACACGGGCGCGCTCGCCAGCCGCCTCGAGTCGAACCCGCAGGCCATCCTCGAGCTCATGGGCTTCAACATTGGCCTCATCCTCATCTCGTCGCTAAACGTCATTGCGTGCGGCATCCTGGCCATCGCCACGACCTGGAAGCTGGGTCTCGTTGTCGTGCTCGCGGGTATGCCGCCGCTTGTCAGCTCGGGCTATATCAAGGTGCGGCTCGACTCGCGCCTGGATACAAAGACGTCGAAGCGGTACTCTGCCAGCGCGGCGATCGCGTCCGAGTCCGTTACGGCCATCAGGACCGTTTCGTCTCTCGCTATTGAGGAGTCGGTGTTGAAGAGGTACACTGACGAGCTCGACAACGCTGTGAGGGCCTCGACTGGCCCCCTCTTCGTCATGACCGTTGCCTTCGGACTGACCCAGGCCATTGAGTACTTCTTCATGGCCCTCGGTTTCTGGTGAGTTTTGATGCGGCACATGTGCATGTCGGATGCTGACGTTCAACTAGGTACGGCTGCCGGCTGCTCTCGTTCAACGAGATCACAATGTACCAGTTCTTCGTCGCCTTCATGGGCACCTTCTTCTCCGGACAGGCCGCCTCGCAGCTGTTCCAGTACTCGAGCAGTAAGTCGAATCTTCTCCGCTAGTGATGTCGCACACCCTGACCCTCCTAGGCATGACCAAGGGCATCAACGCCGCAAACTACCTCTTCTGGCTGCATGACCTCCAGCCGTCCATCCAAGAGACGCCTCAGAACCGCGACGCCGCGCCAAAGGCCGGCGCCTCGGTCGACTTCCAGCAGCTGCGCTTCTCGTACCCTCTACGGCCCGAAGCGCATGTCCTCCGCGCAGTCGATCTCGAAGTGAGTGCCCCTTTCGGTATTCCATAGACGTCATGCCTAACACACAGTAGATCAAAAAGGGCCAGTTCGTCGCCCTGGTAGGCGCCTCAGGCTGCGGCAAATCCACAATGATCGCCATGCTCGAACGCTTCTACGATCCGACAACAGGCAGCATCGTCATCGACGGCGACGCCGCCTTATCGGACCTCAACCCCCGCCTCTACCGCCACATCGTCGCCCTCGTCCAGCAAGAGCCCACCCTGTTCCAAGGCTCCATCCGCGAGAACATTTCCCTAGGCATCGACGCAGAGTCCCTG